TTTCTGACTATTTAGATCTATTGGGAAGTTTGAGATCTTCACCCCCGTCACGGTGGTAGAAGCTGAGTCTTCCACGTTGATGACGAGATTTTTGCCGCTCGGTGATGTCTGAGAAACCTGATTCTGTTTGGAGCAGGAGCAATCTAAGGTAAACTTAAGGAATATGGTGGCAATTGCAGGTTGTCACGCATGAATAGTTCTTTCGCTCGTGATGGGGCCCGAGACCGAGTGCTAGAAGTGCTCGCATGGTCTTTCCAATGTCTTAGAACTTGGGCTCATACAAGAATAATTTGAACTCTTTCCCTTTTACAAAGAACTTACACATGAGCTGCCGCCTGAAGAAATCCACAAAGTGGCGGTGATGGTGTTTTCCCCTCCGTCGACCCATGGGGTCGCAATTTCACACCTAACTACATGCCAAAGCGCTACAAATCTGCGGGCAAGCGTATAGCAGGCCCATATAGGTGTGCGCTAGATGGTTTCAAGCGGACTGGGAGTTCCATAAACTGATCTTTTCTCTGAAACGATCCCAAGCAGCCATCTGAAATCATTTGGACTCTAGATTAGTATTCAAGTTTAGGGTGTGGGCCAAGTTTCGCTTGTTTTTGCACATTCGGCTGAGGCTACTACAACAAGAAACTATGCTGCCACCTGTGCTCCGCTCAGCAATGGGCAAACACTGCGGACGAGCTTCCGCTTTTGTATACGAATTTTGGGCCAACTGCGGCTCATCGAAGGACAGTTCTGTCTGCCCCAGAGGCTTTTGTGGAAGTTCACGGGGCAACTGCTTTAACCCGAGTGCCTGGATTTGCGCCCTGCCGATCCTAGGTTTTGAAATGTGTTTTTCTGGAGCCTGTATTCCCTAAATACTGCTGCTCTAGCATGTGAAGCTTGCAGTTTGGAATGTCGATTCCCTGCGCCTGAGGATTGCTACCAGACTACATGGACGTGGTTCACTTAAGCATCGCTGTTGACTTGCTGACTGGGACGTCGCAAGAGGTCACTGACGATGCTACAATGTTTCAAGCTGCCTCTCGGTCGGACAGGACAGACTGAGCATGGCCTGGGAGGCTTATAGACCTTGGGCTGCGCAGGCTGGTGTTGAGGACAGGGCAGGCAGGAAACTGTTCACGACGGCCGTGCGCACGAATTCCAAAGTTGTAGAGGTATCCCAGAAGATATTATCAGCCGCAGGGTCCAGATATCTCATACTCTGGAGCTCCACTTTCATGAACTCCGTTTGCAAATCTCTGACGGACCTCCCAGCAACTTGTGAGTGCTTGGGCTGAATATGTATGAGTTTCCAAGATGCTTCGTCCTATCTAGAAGTTGTATATCCCGTTCTCTGGAATGCTTAGGAAAACATCTTCAACCCACACGGGCCTCGTGCAAAAACGTGTTGAAGGATGAATTAACTCCATGAGTTTGCAATGTACTGCAGGTATCTCACTGGAGCGCGCGCTGCCCTTGCAGATATGGAGCTCCTCATGCTCAGATTTGGGCGACTCGGACTTGAACCTGAATGATTTTAGTGTCTGATTCCTCTCGTCGAATTTAGATATGTAGGTTCATGAAAAGCACTTGATTCAATGAAAAACCAGGGCAATCATGACTGATGAGTCGATATTTTGATGAGGATGCAGCGATTTCCTTCGAACACGCCAGCTTGATGTTCAGGTTTTATTTCAACGAGCTAGCACGGGCAGTTTTGGAACGATCGCT